GCTCCCGCCGCCTGGGAACGGCCGCGCAGCTCCAGGGAATCCCTAATGGCACTTTTGTTTTAGTAAGACCCTTAATACCACTATTAGCGGTTATTACAATAACGGCACGGTTTCGTAGAGGGATTACTCACGCCGCCGGCTGGGGCTTCATTTATTTATTTAATTCATTAATGAATCTCTTCCGAGTGCGTATGAAAATTAGCTGAAATAGCTGCAATTCGTCTTGATTTTCTTGAAATATACATTCACGGCCAGGTTTAAATACGGACCGAAAACTCTGTATGCTCCTAGTAATTTCTATTGTCTGCGCCTTGGAACAAGGAGCAGGTCTAAGGTCTACCGCCGAGTCATTTTATTCAGATTATTTTCTATAGCATACATGATCTTTTGAGTCACTTATTAATTAGCTCGTTCCCATCCGATTTAAACACCCAGAAATGTGCAGTTTTATAGTCAGTTTTGGAAACTGCGTCGGGGATGGGGGAGGGACAGGATCACAATTTAACCAGTCTGCCATAACCGGGGGGCAGAGAATCGCGGTTTTTAAACGCAATTTCTTCTCGCGTCTCTTTCTTTCATTTGCTCACTTTTAGGAAAAAAAAAAAAATACTGACAGTCAAGACAAAAGAAGTCCCGTGGTGTATTTTTGTTCTACAGTAATAAATGCCTTGGCAAAAAATCAAAACACAAGAGAAGACGATCTTACAGAGCAGGAGCGCGGGGGAGGCTGTACGTTGCTGTCTCCTGGACTTTAATTCATGAATCTGAAGGTCAGAGCGAAACCGCACGGCAAAATCTGTGATATCGGAGCACGAAATTGTGCCTTCCAGGGATTGCACTTTGAGGGCAGAAAGGAGCTGGAATATAAATCTCCTTTCACTCTCACTTCTTTGAGCCTGATCGGGCGCCTCCGTGGGGGGATTTATAAGTTTAGTCCAAAATGCGCATCTTCGGGAAAACCCTGGCAGGGGTGAGCAGGGGGAGACCTGTCTGAACCCCGTTACAAGCCCTGTCGGAGCGCTGGGACCAGACATCTCGGTGAGGGTCCCAAACTTTGCCTAAACTATGTGTCAGCTCGCTCTGGAAATAAAGCGGGTGGGGGAAGCCATCCACCGCAGTTTTTAAAAACACAGCCCTCTCTCTTTTTCCCCCTCCAGTCTAGACAGAGCTGGAAGCCAGTTTTATATCTGGACAACATTTCTGATCACGCCGGCTG